TTTGCTGATGTGTTTGGAGGTTCTGACAGTTCTCCTGAGGTAGGAACTCTCCTTGATCCTTTTTTTTTCAGTATATTGACTAGGGCAAAATTCTGCTTACTCCTATGCTTTTTTATGCTACAGGCACCTTCAAGTATTAGTAATGTATTCATTTTTACTCTGTTCTTACACTTACAGTTCTCATAACATTTGTCATATTTTTTTAAATATTTCAACTGCCAATACTCATTACTGAATTTCTTTGCTTCGGCTTTTTTAATATTTCAACCTATTTTTCCATAATAACACTTATTTTGTGTCAAATTGACATAATTCCTTGTGTGTTTGCTTACACAGTAAAGACTCTTATATATGAATTAATTTCAGTCAAAACATGGTCCTATAGTAATATTAATAACTTGCATTAAATAGGTCATTGCAGGTAAAGAGAACACTTTTTAATGCCAGTTTCAGCCAATCAACTGCGCATAATTTTGTCTCAAAGTTTTTTTTTTTTTTTTCCCCTTTATAGTAAGTTAAAGTTAAACTTATGCTTGTCTTAAAAAAGCAAACAGTTTTCATTGTGTGTTTATGCAGTGGGGTGAATCTTCAGCAGCAAAATGTTGGATAGATCCTTAGAAAATAACATTTTGTAAATATGAAAAACATTTAGCTCTCATTTTTATTTATTTAAGAAAAAAAACAACACTAAACTTCTGATGTTCAGGGGATAAGAACACTTTTGAAATTACTGGGAGTACATTAAAAAGACAGCTGTTATTCAATTATAATGTTTTAACATTGTTGTATTGTCCCGAATCATCCAATATAAATATACATACATTTGGTAAATTATCTATGCAACCTCAGTTTTTAAAGTGTCACCTGAATCACTACCTTGATGATTATTTGTCAAACAAATACAAAATAAATGCAACTTTATTTTAAAAACTTTTTTTTTTTTCTGTACGTTAATTTTAACGAATTTCTTGTAAATCTCGGTCCGTGGCATCAGTGAAGAGGGGACTCTACATGGTGCTGAATGTGAGACAGATCAGTTTTAAGATTCCTGATCACTGAAGCACTGCTGTGAGAATATTTTATTACTATAATTAGTCACTTACATTTACAAAATAATATTCAGCCGTTTTTAGATTTATTTAAAATTCGATGCACATTGTGTTTTTCACTGTACATGTATGTTTTTGTAATACCAATTTGTAGCTCACGATGTCAGTCTCGGTCAACTTTTCTTTTTATTGACGCATTATGACGCTCCACACCCTCACATTTACAAACCAGGACACACACCTCTCTCTGGTGAAACGCTGGAGCCGGACCATTTACAATTGCTTTACCATATTTTTTTTATTAAATATATTCATCGGCTGGTGATATTTTTGTACTTTTTTTTTTTAAGTTGATTTGTTAATGAAGTAACTGGAGGATGGAGAATATTTCACGTTCAACGCTGAGCTTCATAGCGTCCCTGGGAGCGTTTTGTCTTGTGCTGCGCACCGCCATTGGAGACGCGTCTTTTTCTTTTCCCGAGGAAATGAAACGAGGCTCGATTATTGGAAATCTGGCTAAAGATATGAGTCTGGATGTGAGGAACCTGGTTGCTCGAAAAGCTCGCCTAGAAACGGGCAAGAACAGCAAAAGGTATTGTGATTTAAATCTGAGTACGGGAGACGTCATTGTGTCGGACAGGATTGACAGAGAGGTGCTTTGTGGCAAGAAATCATCCTGCGTTTTGATCCAAGAGCTTGTTTTAGAGGATCCATTAGAGGTACATCGCATTAGTCTGCACGTTCAAGATATTAATGACAATTCACCACAGTTTAAAAAAAACACCATCAAATTTGAAATTAGGGAGTCGGCAGTAAAACATAGCAACTTTCGTTTAGATGAGGCCTTTGATGCAGACATCGGACTGAACGCCATTCATGGATACAGCCTTGAAGAAAATGAAAACTTCAGCTTGAAGGTTGTGGCAAAAAGTGGAGGGGGGAAATATAGTGAGCTCGTTTTAAAAAAGGAGCTGGACAGAGAACAACAGCAGGAGCTAACAGTCGTGCTTGTGGCTACAGACGGTGGATCTCCTCAGAGATCAGGTACTGCAGTTATTCATGTCTCTGTGCTGGATGCTAATGATAACACCCCAGTGTTCAGTCAGGCTGTTTATAAAGCCAGTCTGACTGAAAACTCTCCTTTAGACACCGTGGTGGTTACTGTGAGTGCTACGGATGCAGATGAAGGAGTTAATGGAGATGTAACTTATGAATTTGATCATATTTCTGATGAAAATGATTGCGTGTTTTCTATTGATTCAACAAATGGTCAAGTGAAACTTACTGGATCATTAGATTATGAAGAGAAACCGTCATATGAAATGCAAATAACAGCTAAAGATGGGCTCGGCTTAGTTTCATCGTCTACCCTAATAATTGAGGTCACTGATGTTAATGATAATGTCCCCGTGGTGTCTATAAAATCACTAAAAAACCCAGTGCCAGAAAACACGCAGCCTGGTACAGAGGTGGGCATCATTAACGTGCAGGACAGAGA